ATAATACATGCAAGCATGGAAATATCACAAGGAATCTCCTTTATCTCAAGTTAAAATGTCATGTTTTTCATTTTATTTTTTCTCTTTTTTCTCCTACAAAATTGGAGAACAGGACCATGCAACAAGTCCTGCCCAGTGGGGAGGTGTTGGGGAAAGGGGATAGGAGGGCCAGTAAGGTGCAATAAAATGTATACACACATAAGTAATTGCAAAAATGATACCTGTTGAAATCACTCCAGGAATTGGGGAAGAAGGGATGAAGGAAAATGGTTAAAGAGGTGAATTCATGTATGATATATCTGATACATTGTAAGAACCCGTATAAATGCCACAATATATTCCACCCATCACAACAATAAAGAGAAAAAAATTAAATTAAATTTTAAAAAAAGGAAATGAGGATGAGCAGCTACACTCTGAATTCTGTTAGATTTACTTCAGAGCTAGAGCAGTAGCCTTCCACTCACATATCCAGGCATGAATAAGGCAGAGATCCTTCTCCTTTTAGTCAACCAATGCTACCTTTAATCCCATAAACATTTATTTTCCTCTTGAAAACACAATTCAGAAATCAACTTACATAAAAATATTTTGCAATGCACTCCACTTATTCTACTTACTAATCTTTGTTGCTTAAATTTATGGAAAGTGTGAAAAATATATAAAAGTAGAAAAGTGTTGGGGGTTTGGCTCAAGTGGTAGAGTGCCTGTGTAGCGAGCATGAGGCCCTGAGTTCAAACTCCAGTACTGACATACATACATAAATAAATGATAGAGACTAATAGAAATACTGGTGATATGGTGATCATTTATTCAGCTTTAACAGTTCTTAACATGTTGCTATTCTTGTTCATCTGCCATTCCTATATACTTCAAATGAATTTTGCTAAAATATTTTAGATACGAATATCAGATATGGAATATATCATCCATAAACTCTTTATTCTTTCTTTTAACATGACAGTGGTACTCATTATACCAAACAAGACCAACAGTTCTTTCATGTTGTCTAATATTGAGACCATGTTTAACTTCCCACCATTGTCTCAAAAATGTGTGCACACAGTTTGTTTAAATGAGAGCCCAGAAAGGTTTCCAAATGGCCTTCTGTGAGTATATTTTTAATCTAATAATATTTTAAGCCATCTTTCTCATAATATTTATTTGCTAAAAAAACTTATTAATCTTTGTAACATTTCCTCAATACTGATGGGCTCAGCTTACCTAATGAGAGCCACATGTAACCCACAAGTTTGTCACATAGATGTCTCCCATATGTCACATAGATGATCCCTGTTGGGATCAGACTGTTCCATGATACTTAGATAAAATTGTTTTCTATGTTTCATATAATAAAATAAAATTGTAAATGAAATAAACACATCTAATCAACACAGAGTCAAATATGGAATTTTCCTTTGATACAGCTATTCCAATAGCTGCCAGTCTCTCTAAGAAGCTTTCATGGTTCCACGGTCCAGAGGACAACATTAGTTTTGACTAAGCTTGCCAATAAGGCCTCAGCTCAAAGGAGAACTTGCATAATCGTTACACATGAGAATATAAGCTCTACCTGCAAATACAGATACAGTTGTCTGAGTACATGTAGCTTCTGATGTGGTAGGAACCATGCTTAGTATGATCCATCTTTCCTTTTTTACTTGTTTTTTATCTTTTAAAATAAACTTTTTTTTTGAATAATTTTAGCATTACAGAAAAGTTGCAAAGATAATACAGGAAGCTCCCATATACTCCATTTCCCCTAATCTTACATTAGCATAGACTATACATTTGTCACAACTAAGAAATCAACCTGGGTCCATTACTATTACTAATCTTCAGATTGTTTGGATATACCAGTGTTTCCATTTAGGTTCTTTATCTGTTCCATAGTCCAATTTAGGATACATTGCATTTAGCCATTATGTCTCATTAGTTCCCTCTGGGTGACCCATCTTTTCAAGCAACAGCTTATTTTCAGTGTTTTCAAAATTATTGTTAAGATTTCTAGTCAAAAGACCAGATGGTTCCCTTTCCAAACATTTATATTTTCCACACCCAAGAGCAGGAAGTTCATTTCAGATGGCATTTCTGTGTTTGAATTGTTATGTTTCCTCTAAGTTAGAATACAAACAAGTTGAGATGCATGATAAATTTTCAATATATTATACAAATGGTGCTGTTGCTCCTGTAACATTGCGTGAGTAATTCATTCCAAAAGCATGGTGTCAAAAATCTCAGATAAAAGGAGTGGAATGTTGAGTGGTTTCTGAGAACAGATGTAAGAATATTGCACATATTTTCTTTTCAACTAGCTGAAGTCCTTAAGTTTTTATGAAGTGCAGGTGTATTGGGAAAGGGGCTTTTGATTTACGTGAATAGTATGGATCTGCACAAAATCAATTTTGTTGGTTCTGGTGTTATTTTACTTTGCTTTTCTTTTTTGGTGTCACTTAATAGGATGATAGTTGAGCAATTCTGAAATAAAATTTATCGGAGGCAGACTCTTAATGAAGAATTTAAGGCAATCTCATTTAACTTCTCAAAAGATTTATATTTAAATATTTCAGAGAGCTAACTCGGGTAAGTAGGTAAAAGTCATTTTGTTTCAAAGAACCCAAGTTTAGTTTTGTGCTTTTTAGTTAGTTATAAACAATACAAACTTCTTTGTAGCTTAAGATTCTAATATAGTCAAATCTCTTATTTCGCAAATTAATCACTCTTAGAGGTTCTACATATCATGAAACGATACTGCATCAAAGAATTCATCCTATGAAATAGAAGACATTCCTTCAAACTAGATGGATGCTTGCTTTGATCCAGTCTCTTTACAAGTCTCCATGATGTTCCTCACAAGGAAGTAGGAACTCAAATTGAGAACTCTCAGTTCATAGCTGCCTGCCATTGTTTCCCGAAGTTTACACACAAGTTAACCAGAATTCTCTTTGTGCCATGAATACCCAAACTAGTGGGTCTCAAACACGAACGTGCATAAGGGCTGCCTGAGCAGCTTGAAAAAAATGGCCTATTCTTTGGCCCAGGTACAAAGATCTCATTCTGGAGCTATGTATGAGTTCAGGAATCATCATGTTCTGTAGCATTGCAGGTGTTTCTGATTAGGCAAAAAAAAACATTACCTCCTAAAGGAATACTTCTCATCCTACCAACATATTTTAATCATCGGAAGAGGTTTAAAAAGATCTAATGCCCAGGACTCTGTCCTCAGCCAATGAAACCAGAATATTTGAGTTTAGCAAGAGCACAGGTATTTCTGAAAAGCTGGCCAGCTAATTATAATCTGCAGCCTGACAGGAGACCCATTACCTTTGACTTTTATGATGAACACAGAACACTTGACAGTCCCGCAAGTGTGAGATTCTACTGTGACACTTACTACTTTTTCTTGTCATCAAATCTTCATAAAGGTCACCAATGCCCACCCTAGAAGTTTTATTGTCTTTAAAACTCAAGGACCCTACTTCTTTTAATACAGATTGGGCCTACTAAATTTGGACATATGACCAAGGTACCATCTAAAACATGAGAGAGTATTCACCTGTATTTGCACAAGTAACAGGGCCCATTATGTAACAGTTTCTGTAGCGATTATATCAAGTTATATTCAATAAACAACCTCTTCCCAGGCCTAAAGTGTCAGCTATGTCCTTCACACACCCCATTACACAGCTTGCACTACGAGCTATTAGATTTTAGCTCACAGACATGGAGAATGTTGTCCAATCTCGGGCCCTCTGTGCCTAACTCTAATTTAGGGTCAAATGTCAAGCTCCTTCCTTTAATTTCATCATGATGGAAACCTGAGCAAGGCTGAGATCAGCAGCAATTTCAGCCTCAACCATAAACCTGAGAAAAGCCATATAAATCAGTCTGAATGAGACCTTTTAAGGTAACCCAATGAAAATTTAAATTTAGGACTACAGTTTAAATGGTTCATCTGCTTCCTCAGAAATAAATGGTTATTTTTAAAACCAAAGGAGGAAATAACAGAGGGAGAAAGGGGACCATAAGCATCACTTACTCCTCTTCTTTAAGATCTGTTAAAGTGATATGATATCCTTGTTCAACAAGTAATAAAATAATTTCTTATTTTATTTAATTTATTTTTTTCTTATTTTTTTTTAATTCATATGTGCATACAATGTTTGTGTCATTTCTCCCTCCTCCCCCCACCCCCTCCCTTAACACCCACCCCACCCCCTCCCTCTCTCCCTCTTATTTTAAATAATACATGAATTAGAACTATTTAATCATTTTTAAAGACCATATGTAATTGTAGAAATTCTAATAATGATATTAAAAATTAAGATCATTGAAGTTTCCATTTTTATTTTTAAATTCATGTTTGATGTTTGCACATGTGAAGAACTTGTAGACAGAGTGGATGCAGGACTGTGACACTGCCTCCTTCATTAATCATTCCAGAGCCATCCCAATAAACTTTCAGTAAGAAAAGAAACACAAACAAAGCCCATATATTCTATGTCAATGGGTTTCAAGACGAGTTCTATAAGTGGCCCTTTCCTATCTCAATATGCTCAGCAATTTGCTACCACTAAGACCTTTCTATATAGAAATTCTATATTACCTGATGCTTAAAACAAGATTAGAAGTGCCTGGTTTTCTCCCAGTTCCTTGTATCTTGTGTTCAACATACACTACTATCAGAATTTATATATGGTTTGTCTCTTAAAAATTCATTTCTAAATATATCCCACATGTGAAATGGATGGAAATCTTCATGGCATGTATGTGCGTGTTTGTATGTGTGTGTGTAGCATGCTTTTCTGTAACACAAAATGCAATAAGGGCCAAATGTGTTTAAAAAAACCTATAAGATCAATATAATGTCTACTGTGATTATTAGAAACATTCCTACCAGATTTCTAGTGTAAATAGGGAGTAAGAAGAGGATCCCTCCACTGTCTGAGCAAATGTTAATGACTAAATTATAGAGTAATTAGACTGAACTTTTCTTTTAGCTATTACTTGTCGAAAGCAAGATGGAGGGCAGGCTGGCATCCATGAATGCCTCCAGTATGCAGGCCCTGTGCCAGTGCTGACCCAAGCTTGCCAGATCCCCTGCCAAGACGATTGTCAATTTACCAGCTGGTCCAAGTTTTCTTCTTGCAATGGAGACTGTGGTGCAGTTAGGACCAGAAAGCGCACTATTGTTGGTAAGAATAATTGGAATGCCAAAGCCAACTTTTGTCAAGGTAGAAAAATATAAGACCAAGAGAGTTCTGACAGGTATTTGAAAACTGCCTTATTGTTGCTGTACTTACACTGAACGTGTCAGTGGATTCAGGCTTGTATTTAATGTAAGATGGCAATGATGAAAGCATTATGCCATTTCACTAGAAAGAAAATGCAGCCTGACTCCCTACACAGTACATGCTAGATTGTATTTTGTTTTGAACATGAAATTTTAGTGAATTTCCTCGAAAGTATAAAGTGCTTGGAGCAAACAGGAAAGGTTGCCCCTTTATTTTCTTAACCCATTCTCATGGTCATAAGCTCAGGTTATTATCTTTCATCTCCTACAAGGAGGAATGTAAGATTAGCTCTGTATCTGAAAACTGAATTGAAAAAGGTCACAAAAAAAAAAGAAAGAAAAAGAAGGTCACAGATACATTTGATAATATTGTCAGTGACAAAATAAAACCCTAATAATATTGGTGCTAGTAGATTGCTCAAATTTTAAAACTTATAAATGACCCCCTCATAAAATGCTAACTCTTTGAATGATGTAAATCAGCTCATAAAAATCAGAGATAAATATGCGATTAAACATTATAATTAAAGAATGTGTCATGATGCATAACAAAATATGCAAATATTTTATGTGCTATAATTAACATGAATAAATACTTTTTATAACATATATAATTTATATTCAAGAAGGTTTTTTATTTTAAGAGGGAATTTACTTAGATTCAACATTGTTCAAATATTTGTATAATAAATATCTTCATTTTGAGTAGTATTGATATTTCCTACATTAATCACCAAGTATGTCAAAATGATTACTTTTCAGAAATTCTGAAAAATAAAACATCATAAAGAAGTTCAAATATCTCCTTTTCTGAAGAGTATAAAATTCAATGTAATAGTCCCTTATAACAAAATCAGCTAGTTTTGACTTTTTTTTCTTGAAGGCTTGAACTCAAGACCTCACACTTGTTAGGCAGACACTCTTACTACCACTTGAGAAACTAAGCCAGCCCTTTGTAATGGGTTTTTTCCAGACAGGGTCTCACCAACTCTGGGGAGAGCTTCAAATCAAGAATTTCTAGATCTCTGCCTCCAAAGTAGCTAGGATTACAGGAGTGAGCCACCAGTGCTCAGCAAAATAGGCTATTTTTAAAAGAGGGAAAAAAAAAATATTGCACTATGTGAAATACCCAGTGCCAGCAAGAATTTATTTAAAAAAATACTTTGATTTCTGCTGGGTATTGAGGGGGTGGGAGGGAAGTGGAGGGGGCTGAGTGGGTGGTAAGGGAGGGGGTGGGGACAGGGGGAAGAAATGACCCAAGCTTTGTATGTACATATGAATAATAAAACAATAAAAAAAGAGAAAGAGATAAAAAATAAAAAATAAAATAAAAAAAATACTTTGAAGTGAGAAAATAACATTTATTTATAGGCTGCTATAAAATATGATCAAAAAGAGAAAAAGAAAGTTTAGGAAATTATAAAGTGCTGGAAGTTAATGCTGTTTTCCAACTTATATTGGCATTTCTCTTCCACAGGAAAAAGTAAAAAGAAGGAAAAATGTAAAAATTCCCATTTATACCCCCTGATTGAGACTCAGTATTGTCCTTGTGACAAATACAACGCACAGCCTGTGGGGAACTGGTCCGACTGTATTTTACCTGAAGGGAAAGTGGAAATGCTCCTGGGAATGAAAGTACAAGGAGACATCAAGGAATGTGGACAAGGATATCGTTACCAAGCAATGGCATGCTATGACCAAAATGGCAGGCTTGTGGAAACGTCCAGATGTAACAGCCATGGTAATACAATTTTTCTCTTGTGTTTTATATTTGCTATCTTTGGGATTGGAGGTAAAATACAGATGGGTCATAGAGGGCAAATGGAAATTTACAGAAATTTTTATAAAGGAATGAGGTCAGTTTACAGTGTGTGTCAGCTTGAATCAAAGATGTCATGTATTTGCAAACACTGGAAGTTCTAAACTGAACCCTGTGGTTCATTTACATGTAGCGGAACCTTCTATTGCATTGTCTGTTTGTCCAGAGTTGGCAGCTAAGTCCCAAAGATGGTGGAAGATGGTGGAAGCTTTGTGGGGCCCTCATCCTTAAAATTTCAGCAAAAGTGGTTGCAGAAATCTCCTTTGGGGCTTACATCAAGAGCCCGTTCTTTTAGTAAATCCAACAATCCCCAAAAGGTATGTGAGGATTCAAGTTTTAAGCTAGACAGATTTTTAGCAACCAAACTGGCAAACTTTGTAATGTGCCCAAAATGTCATTGAAGTAGCTAAGAAGAAAGGCAGAAAGTATTAATGGGTGGAAACTCAGACATCTGTTTTTTGTCCATTGAGTTAGGATTAGCAAAAAAGTAGCAAACAAAAAGCAGAAAAAACATATCTACTCTTAGGAAAATGCACCCACTTTCATTTTATAAACCAAAAAGGAATAAATCAAACTAAAATGAGGTGATAATATTTTAGTTGCCAAAAGTTTATAAATCGTGATTGTCCTTGGTTAGAGTATATACTGAACTCTTGAGGTTTTCCCTTTCTTAATGTAGGCAGCATTAGCAATATTTCTTCATTGTTCTTTTATTTTAATACATCTGCTTTTTTATAGTAGAATGAGATCAGTTCACAGTGTGTAGTGGACTCAGGCATCATAGATGTCATATATTTGAAAACACTGGACAATGATCTACCTTCTGAATAGAGGTGATAAGAAAGGATGAGTTAAAATGCTAGGATCGAGGTACATGGACGTTAGCCATCCTTCTGCTGTTTCAACAGGACTGATGGAGTTTTATGATGTGGTTCAGAAAACAACACAAATTAGTAGAGCTATCTCATACTTACCAACTATCATGGTGTCATAGTGAGGCATTTATTAGAATCTCTTAGGCCTCTCCCTACAAAGAAGTTTCTAAAAACCCTGTCCTTTTTTAACCTTATCTCACAGTTTCTATTTTATCACGTCCCAAAGATCCCACAGTACTGAGTGCTATATGTGCATTGTTAAATGAAAGATTGCTCTATGTACTTAGAATAATAACTATAAAAGAAAAAAGAGCTTAGTATTTATAACTGGTTTACTTTGAGAAGCACCACTAAGAGTAACTGAGTATTTTATTCTCTATATCAAATAGCAAAGGTGCTATCAACTAAATACAAAAAAATACAAATGTCCATCCTATTTTTAAGGAACATTGTAGAGTACAGGATATAGAAAATTATAATTAATTACTAAAATGTAAAATTGAAGATTACTTTTAAAATGTTTCTCTTACAATACAGCATAGAAGTGTTTGCTTTATACACTGTTATGCATAGTGAGCCACTAAGATATCATTTGTTTTGAACTTTCATATGATTCTCACTTTTATTCTGATCTGCTAATTAGATGCATGAGAGCTTCAGTAAGCCACTTATTAGTCAATCTCATTTTTAGAAAAAGCCTTAAAATATTATGACTCTCACAAAAACATTGGCTCACTTAAGAAGAAAAAAGTACAAAATTAATCAAAATAGGACAAAGGCACTACACTTCTTAGCATTGTCAATTCAAAGCATGAAGAATGCAGTACTGTATTCTGGGGAAAGGCACAAATTAACAACAACAACAACAACAACAAAAGAGTTCTTGATGGCTTTGGACTTCAGGAGGATTGTGAAAGGGTGTAATAAAGACACTTAACCATTTCAATTTACTTCTTTTATATGTCTTGTATCATTCCTATCTTCTTTAATAGGATCTAGGATGGGATGTCCAATGAGTTTTTTTGTGTTTACTAACTTTTTTATTCAAAGTAAGGTGTGGACAAATTTAATCCCTATTAAATGATTTCAGTAGAGATTTATTTGGCAATTACTACTTTCCTTAAATGTGTTATATCAATTTTGATGGTGTTTGTGCAGTGTTATAACTTTGCCATGCTATCTTAAGCATGCTCTCAGTTGCAGTCTGTAGGACAGCTGCCTTCCCACAGCCACTTCAGCTTTCTAGATGGATGGTGGATATGGAGTTTAAGTGGCTTGGGAAGAAAACTGTCTTCCTGCTTTCAATTTAGACATAAAATTGATCCCCACATGTGTGCACCGCAATAACACTAAATCCCTGTTCAACACTGGCCTTGGGGCATTTCTGTTTAATCATTGTCCATCTGTGAATCATGTTATCACTAATTACACTGATAACGTAATTTAACTTTCACCAGTTTAATTGTATATTATTTTAGACAATTTCCCATGTGGTCAACATTTTTTAATGTCTTAAACTTTGGGCACAATTTTATTATAATAGCTTGGACTGTCCCATAACAATGACTCTGTGCTGAGAAATGATATAATTTTATTCCTGAAATCAGATCTTAAAATATATGTTAGAAGGTACATAAAAGTACATCTATTCTTATACTTGGTGTTGAATATATTTACTCTACAAATGTTGCTATACACACCACACATTTTGGGAGATTTATCGGCCCTAAAAACAATACAAATTACGTATATTTATTTTTGGTATGAAATCTTGAATAGTGTCACTGTACAGATTTTAAATCACTCAAAAACCAAATCACACATTTTCTGCTCACTAGTAGAGTCCTCTAAGATCTTGATGAACTGATTCACTAGTGTTTTTTAAGTCAATCACCTTAAAATTTTCTCAAAAAAAGGAATGGAATTTCTAGAACTATAAAAAATTATGCTATTTAACCTTGATATTTTAAAGAATCTTAGAGGTAACCTACATTATGCAAAGTACATGTATTCAAGATTCCATCTAAGTGTAAGTGATAGAATTTTATCATGTGATCCTAGTCTAATGGAGCACTCCAAGTCCCCTTCTGCTGTTCTACTTCTGTATTTCTGCTGTATAATTTATTTATTACATTTATTATTTATGTTTTCATTTACCATGCAGGAATGTAGATTTATGAGAATATCTTAAACTATTTAATTCACATGGTATCTTAAGTACCTGGCACAGTTGATGCTTAATAAATATTTATAGGATGCATGAATGAATGAAATGCTGGGGAGAATTTTTTCCCCACATGAAGAGTCAGACCCTAGTCAGGTTTCAGTTGATCAAGCTAAGGCACTTTCCCAGTGTTCTTCTCTGTATGTCATATTTCTGGGAAGTAATCAAACAGATCATTAAGAATCACTAAGCTCTTAAATTCAACTGAGAGCTGCGCATGCCACAAACTTTGTATATGATACTGATCAAATGCCCAGGTTTCTTTCTACCTATTAAATCAGGGTGAAAAAATAATAGTTGCACGCTAATTCCACTTAAATAAACCAGTAATACCCATGCTGTAAAGTCTCTTTTAAAGTTTCCTGTTCAAAATTACCTGGTCTGTACCACATTAGATTTGGAAAATAGTTGAACCTCTTGGTTATGTGAGTAATTATGACAATTTGCATTTTTTCAAACTATATTTACAACTTTAGTTTGGAGTTTGGGATATTTACCTCTCTTTGTTTCCACTCGCTTTCCTTGTGAAAATAAGGATTAACAACTCTATTTGTTTTACTTGAGAGATGTAGGAAGGTAAGTTAGATAAAGGATGAAAATGCCGGTCTTTAAACTCTATGAGTCACATGATTCCTTCCAGACAATTCTCTTCAAATATACCCTCAGGAAATTTTTCTTTGCTATTTCCCCCAGGCAGTTTACGACATAATGCTCTATTAGTAAATATCCAAGGATGAACTCAATTATAGTTGTGATGTTAAGTCATCTATTAGTACCAAGTAAACAGAAAGGTTTACGATGATTTTATCCTGAGCCCACATTGTTTAATATGTATAACTCTTCTATTGCTTAAAAATAAAATACTGCTGTTGATAATGTCAAACATTTGCCAAGAGAGGCCACCAGGAAACTCAAGAATTGGCCATTAGGTTAAATCACCTGTCACCAAAGTTTTGCCAACGGGCCAGATAAGAGAGATTTTAGACTTTGTGGAGCACAAGGTCCATGGCATAACTACTCAGGTCTGCAGTTACAGCATGAAAACAGTCATGGGCAGTATGTGAGCAAATGGGCATGGCTGTGTTTTGGTAGAATTTTATTTACAAGAACAGGCTGCCAGCCCAGGCTCTTATTGGCATGGGGTTCACAACCCTGCTACTCAAATGAGGCATACAGACCAGCAGTGTAAAGATCACTGAGAAACTGTTGGAAATTCAGAAACAGCCTCCATTTCAGACCTGTTGAGTCTCTTTACATTTCAGCAAGATCTTAAGGTCTTTCTGCACACTTACAGTTTAAGGATTACTGCACTGGATCAAGCAGACACTCAAGGTGCAGAGGCTTGAGAGGACTCATGAGTTTACACCAGAGGCAGAACCAAGGGATTTCCTTCTCCAGAACCTCAAGGGGATACCCTGTTCGGGGCAAAACAATTCATGCCTCCATGTGACGGTTCACCTTATCACCAGTCATGGAAACTTTTGACATTATGAAGATGGTGCTCCATAAGGTGAAAGTCTGTTGAGATGTAATTTTGAAAACAAAGTGAATCTGTACAACCTTTGTTGTGGGAAGTTGCTAGCTGAGATATGGGATACTGAGGCAGTTTAGCAGGAAGCAACATTTTATTGTGCCAGCACAGACCCAGAGGACTCGTGTCCAAAGGCTGAGCCCCAAGAACAAAGGGGCTGTGTACTCACCTTTTGTACCCTTGCAAGCAGGTTACAGAGACAATAAAATTTAAAAACCAAGGCTTAACCCATATATGGTTACATGCAATTCTATAGGCTACCTCAGCCTAGTGCTAAGTGCCCTTTTACCCC